TTGGTGTCATATCCAAAAATCATGGCCAAGACCAGTGTCAAGGATCTTACTCCTTATGTTCTCTTCTAGGAGTTTTAAGGACTCAGGTCTATGTTCAATCCATTTTGAGTTGATTTTTTGTGAGTAGTGTAAGATAGGGGTCCAGTTTCAGTCTTTGGCATGTGGACATCCAGTTTTCTCAACACCTGTTGAAGACACTATCCTTTACTGTTGTATATTCTTAGCTCCTTTGTTAAAAATTAATTGAGCATATATGCATAGGTTTATTTCTGGGCTCTCTGTTCTGTTAACACTGAGTTTTTATGCCAATACCATATTGTTTTGATTATTATAGCTTTGTAATAGAGTTTGAAATCAGGAAATGTGATGTCTCCAGCTTTGTTGTTCTTTCTCAAGATTTCTGTGGCTATTCAAGGTCTTTTGTGGGTCCATACAAATTTTAGGATTGTTTTGATAAGGATTGCATTAAATTTGTAGATTGCTTTGGGTAGTTATGGACATTTTAACACTGTTAATTCTTCTAATCCATGAACACAGGATATCTTTCCATGTATTTATGTCCCCTTCAATTTATTTCATTAATGTCTTATAGTTTTCAATGTACAGATCTTTTACCTCCCTGGTAAAATATATTCCTAAGTATTTTATTATTTTTGATGCTATTGTAAATAGGATTGTTGTCTCGGTTTCTCTTTCTGATAGTTTGTTATTAATGTATAGAAATACAACCTATTTTTGTGTGGTGATTTTGCATTGTGCAACTTTACTGAATTCGTTTATTAGTTCTAACAGTTTTTTAGAGGAGTCTTTAGGGTTTTCTATATATAAAATGTCATCAGCCAATAAAGACAACCTTACTTCTTCCTTTGCAATTTGGAGTCTTTATGTTTCTTTTTCTTGCCTAATTTCTCTGGCTAGGATTTTCAGTACTATGTTGAAAGAGTACTATAAAAGTGGAAAGAGTGGGCATCCTTGTCTTGTTCCTAATCTTAGAGGAAAAGCTTCACCGTTGAGTAAAATGTTAGCTGTGGGCTTGTCATATATGGCCCTTATTATGCAGAGGTAGGTTCCCTTTATATCAGCTGAACAGACCAGTTAATAGTAAGGAGATTAAATCAGTAATCAACACCCCTCCACCCAAAAAAAAAGGAAAAAAGAAAGAAAATCCAGGACTAGATGGCTTCACTGGTAAATTCTACCAAACATTTAAAGAAAAATTAATACCAGTCCTTCTTAAACTCTTGCAAAAAAGTGAAGAGGGGAAAATACTGCCAAACTCATTTTGTAAGGCTAGTATGACCTTGATACCAAAGCCAGAGAAGGACACTACAAGAAAAAAATGTTATACTTAATATCCCTGATGAACACAGATGCAAAAATCTTCAAAAAAGTTTAGCAAACTGCATTTAACAGTACATTAAAAGGATCATACACCATGATCAAGTGAATTTAGTCCATGGATGCAAGATGGTTCAACATCCACAAATCAAGAAATGTGATACACCACATTAACAAAATGAAGGATAAAAGTCAAATGATCGGGACTTCCCTGGTGGTCCAGCAGTTAAGACTCTGTGCTCCCAATGCAGGGGGCTGGGGTTCGATCCCTGGTCAGGGAACTAGATCCCACATGCTGCAACTAAAGATCCTGCATGCCACAACGAAGATCCTGCACACTGCAATGAAGATCCCACGTGCCACAACTAAGACCCAGCGCAGCCAAATAAATAAGTAAATAATTTTAAAAATCACATGACCATAGATGCAGGAAAAAGCAGTTGACAAAATTCAGCATCCTTTCATGATAAGTCTGCATGCCTTTTATTTCTTTTTACCATTGCATTGGCTGGGATCCTATAGTACAATGTTGAGTAGAAGTTGTAAAGTTCTTGTTCCTAATCTTAGGGGAAAGCATTCAGTCTTTCACTATTTAGTATTTTACTGTGGGTTTTTCATAAGTATCCTTTATCAGCTAGAGGAAATTCTCTTCTATCTTAGTTTGCTAAAATATCTCTTCTATCTTAGTTTGCTATCCAGTTTTTCTTTTTAATCATGAATGGGGGTTGACTTTTGTTAAATGCTTTTTCTGCATCTATTGAGATGATCATATGGTTTTTCTCCTTCATCTGTTAATGTAGTGAATTACATATGATTGACTTTTGGTTGTTGAACCAATCTTGTAATTGTGGGATAACCCCCACTCGGTCAAGGATGTATTACCTTTTTGCTATGTTGTTGGAAATAGTTTGCTAAAGTTTTTTTTAAGAATTTTAAAATCTATGTTCTGAAGGATATTTGTAACTTCTTTCTTGTTAGTATGTTTGTCTGATTTTGGTCAGGATAATGCTGGCTTCATAGGTTAATTTGGGAAGTGTTTCTTCCTCTTCTGTTTTCTGAAAGAGTTTTATAGCATTGGCATTATCTCTTTTTAAAGTAATTAGTAGAGTTAACCATGAGGACATCTGGGCCTGCACTTTTCTTTTTGGGGAAGTTTTTAACTACAAATGCAATTTCTTTAAAAGATGTAGGACTGCTAGAGTTATCTATTTTATTTTGGGTAAGCTTTGGTAGCTTGTGTCTTTCAAGAAATTTATCCATTTCATCTAAGTTGTCAAAAACATTAAAAGTTGTTCATAATGTTCCATTATTACTTTTTAATTCCTATAGAATTCATAGTGGTATCCACTTTCTTATTCCCCTTATTGGTAATTTGTGTCTTCTCTCCTTTTTCCCCTACTTTCTCCCAACCTCAAGTCCAGCAGAGAGACTCTTCCACCAGTTCCCACAAGTATCTCAGAATTGAGACTTGTTTGGTTTCACTGGCCTAATTTTAGTGATATGGCCATTCCTGAGCCAATAACCATGGTCATGCTCTGACTGGTTAGGGATGAAGTCACCACCACCCCAGCTCCATGAACTGAGTGGGGGAAGGGCCTTACTGAGAAAGATCAGGGACCTACTACTTTAAGAATGGGAAATGCATGCAGGCAGATAGAAATATGGCCATTACAGCATTTATGTTTTTTTTCCTAATGTAAAGAAGTCTAAAAATTTTACATAGCCTAATTTGTAAACTTATTTTTATATTTCTTCCATCAAAAAAGCTCCCTACATGTCTTTAATAAAATAATTTATACCTAAATTTTCTTTTTCATGGTTTATATCTATCTACTTAATTCATCCTGAATTTATTTCAGTTTAAGAGATGAGGTGAGGATCTAACAACTTTTTCTTCAAGGTACTAGGTAATCTCTTCATTTACCTTCATTTATTCAGCTTATTCCTTCAGTAAAACATAGTACCTGACACTTAACATGGTACTTAACTTTGTACCAAGCCCTGTGCTAAGCATTCTAACATATATTAATACATTGATATTTATAAGGATTCTATGAGGTAGATACTATTATTATCTCCATATATATCTGAGTTGCAAAGAAATATTGCTTACTCAAGATCAAATGGCTAATAGCTGAGTTCTGAACCTAGGTTTCTAGTAGCTGTTCTCAGTCTTTGTGCTATACTGCTTCTAAAAATCATTGATGTCCACAGCATGCCTTGCAGCTACTAGCTTTGCAGCTAGTAGGCTTCTGTTGTACCCATGCATATTATTATTATTATTATTATTATTATTATTATTATTATTATTTTGTGGTACGTGGGGCTCTCACTGTTGTGGCGTCTCCCGCTGCGGAGCACAGGCTCCGGACGCGCGGGCTCCGCGGCCACGGCTCACGGGCCCAGCCGCTCCGCGGCATGTGGGATCCTCCCGGACCGGGGCACGAACCCGTGTTCCATGCATGGGCAGGCGGACTCTCAACCACTGCGCCACCAGGGAAGCCCCCCCATGCATATTATTGTTCCTTTCAGTTGGCTTGTACCAAGAATCAGTTGTTTCTAAGCCTTGATGTAATAGTTGGACTTGTTATTGTAATGACATTTTAACTAAATAAAGATAAGCCAATGAAATACGAGTATAAAAACAAAGCTATTTCTATGAAAATGAAGTCAGTTCCTTTCAATAGATTCCATATTGGAATCTATTGAAAAAAAATTGACTATTGAGAAAAAAAATTGTTGACTGAGGTGTGGGCAAGGACTGTGAAGACTGGCAAAAGACAAACAAAAAGCAAAAATTCTAGAATTCTGCTCACAGATAGTTTCTTAAGCATCTTTACAATTTTTGTGCTGCTGAAACCAATCTTGAAATTTCATATTATGAATGTGGTTTAAACAAGAAATACTACAACAGTCATTGTATTCATTCTCAAAGAAAAGGATATTTATAGACTAGTGAGTACATATGTGTTTCTAGGTTTTAATTTCAAATAAATATTTAAGGCACATATAACATTTAAGTTGATATTCTGCTCTAACCTTTCTCCCACCCAAATAACCAACTAGGTACTAGACCTCAATCTTTTTTAAAGGAAGTCTTCTAATGTGGTTATAGCCAGTAGTCTTGGCATCGTTTATTGACTTGACCTTCTTTACTGATTAGAAAGTCTACTTTAATTATCTGTTAGATCTTTATGTCTACTCTGCATTATCTTTCTAGGGTATCCAATTCCACTGTTGTATTTGTTTGTTTTTAAGTTAGTGTTTTTAATACCTGATACTTTTTTTGTCAACATTTCTTGGCCATTCCACCTCATTAATTTTTCTGTATATATAATATTTCTGAAGTCTATCATGAATATATTCTTACTGAGAGTATTTTTTTATCAATTTTGAAATGTTCTAGTGAAGAAGGTATGCTAAGTTTATAATTATAACTTAAAAATGAGGCAAGATTAAGAAACTCAGGTATAGGCTAGGGTCAGAAACATTAAGACATACCAGACATAGCTGTGGTACGCTGAGCTTTCTGTACTCTGAGAAGACTGTGTGAGCCAATAATGATGCATGTGAGAAACCACTGTAGATTAGAGGACATGCTGAAAACTATCTAGGAGGGGATAGTTCATGGAGATCAGGACAGAAGCGGCATTTGCAGAGGTTCAGGCAAGGAGGTAACTTCCTCCCCTCCTCTCAGGTCCGGTACATCTTTGTAAGAAGAGCTTGTTCACCTGCTCCCTAAACACCTGCTTCACCTGTTTGTTCCTCAGGGTGTAGATGAAGGGGTTGAACATTGGGGTCACCATGGTATTGAGCAAGGCCACCACATTGTTCCTGTCCTCGCCCTGGCCACCCTTGCCTGACTGGACATACATGAAGATGCAACTGCCATAGAAGAGAGAGACAACGGTGATGTGGGAGAAGCAGGTTGAGAAGGCTTTCTGCCTCTCCTTAGCTGAGGGGTTTTGCAGGATGGTGTGGAGGATGTGGCCATAGCAGGTGGCCTTCATGGACAGAGTGCCCAGTAAGCTGAAGTTGGCCAAAATAAAACCCAGAAGCTCAATCAGACTTGTGTCCGCACATATGAGTTCCAGGAGTGGAAAGTTGTCAAAGAAGAAATGATTAATGATATTGGGGCCACAGAATGGCTGCTGAAATATGATGAAACTTGGAACGATGATGGATAAGGAATCCTGTCATCCATGAACAAAGAACTAGCTGGACACAGACCCTTTTGCTCATTGATGGTGACATAACGCAAGGGTTTACATATGGCCACATACCTGTCAAAGGACATCACTGCCAGTCGGTAGAATTCTGTGGTTCCCAGGAAGAAATAGAGGAAAAACTGAAGAAAGCAACCTGCCAGGAAGATGGTTCTGTATCTTGTCAGGATGTTGGACAGCATTTTGGGGAAGATGACCAGGGTGAACCAGATCTCCAGGATGGCAAAGTTGCGGAGGAAGTAGTACATGGGGGTGTGGAGGTGCCTGTCCATGAGGGTGAGGACCAGTAGAGTGAGGAGGCAGGTCAGGAGGAGCCCCAGGAAGATGAGCATCTGCAGCTCACAGGCATCTGAGAGCCCCAGCAGGACAAACTTGGTGACAGTGGCGTGGTTCCCCATGGCTCCTCTGACCTCTGCTGAGGATGGCCAATCAGAGGTGTGCTGCACCAGGAGTCGTGATGTTCTGGGGATCTGAGGACATTTGGAATTGATAGGAAAAAGTGGTGAGTGTTGCATTTTGAGTTGAAGGATTCCTTTATTTTTGTTTTACAGAGCTCCCTTGGGGCTATCTTTCTCATGTATGGTCCCTGGTATGTCTATGTGTTAGAGGCGAGAGTGGTGTTGCAGGGGGGCCTAAGTAAGGCCCCAAACCAAAAATTATTCTTGCTTACTTTTGTTAACCAAAATTTTATTTCTAATTCTTCAACAATTACTTTGCCTCTAACATTATACCCTGCTTTCACTACCTTTCATTTTTATCTTTATTCTAATAATGGGTCTTCATCCATAAGTAGTTCATATTTGAGACTGATAACCTTTTTGCTTAACTTAGCCATTCACTACACAGATCCATATCCTCAGGTAAACTGATTGAGAATGCGTAGACACTCTATTGCTAATTCAATATTACCTGAAAATTCGATGCCTTTCACTAGTATTTGGATTAATAAAAAGACAAGAGGAAATCTATGAGAGAAGAGCACAACTCTTACCAATCAAAAATAGAAAAATCCAAGTAATGTATGCACAAATAAAAATTCCTTAGTGGGAGTTTGGTATTTAAGATTCTTAATGATCCATCCTCATATGATATATCCACGGTCTCCTTTGATTACATCCTCCCATGGGCTCAAGATACAATAAACCCTTTGTGATTTTTTTATTCTTTATCTATTTTATGCACCTATGTTTTAGCACATGGCATTCTTTCAACTTGGAATCATCAGCCTTTTCAAATCCTATTTGTCCTTTAAGTCTCTCCTCAATAAGTGCTGTCATTTCCATGAAGCCTTCTCTTTTGAATGCCTGAGTCTCTGTATCTCTCATAGTTTTGTTATATATCACTCAACTTTTATTGTATTTTATGGTTGTTTTTCATTTGTTGCTTAAAGATGTCTTTATTAATCTTTGCTTTTTATATAGCTCTTAGAACAAGTTTCTTGAAATAATCAGCTTTAGTAAATATTTACTGAATGAGTGAATAACACCTCAAATGTCTGTGAGTTGGATTTGGTGTTGTTTGACACAGAATAGGTTGAGGACATGTTGCTTATGTAGTACTTCCTAGAGGACAGTAACATTGCGGAGTAATATGTCAAGTAGTCTGTTAAAATGGCCCATCTGAAGAGGGTTTGCTTTTCCTCATTAGAAGGTGGAGATGTCTCCCCACAAAGATTCTCTAAGGGGAAACTCTCCATCTTTGAGACAGTCTGGAGTTCTAGCTAGTAAAGGGACAGAGGTCTGTTTGGGTCTGCTAGAGTGCTTCCAGCAGCAAACCAAAACCAAAACCAGAACCAAAACAAACATCCCCCCCCAAAAAAAACTCAAACAGGACTTCCCTGGTGGCTCAGTGGTTAAGGATCCACCTGCCAATGCAGGGGACACAGGTTCGATCCCTGGTCGGGAGAGATCCCACATGCCACGCAGCAACTAAGCCCGTGCGCCACAACTACCGAGCCTGCGCTCTAGAGCCCACGAGCCACAACTATTGAAGCCTGCACGCCTAGAGCCGGTGCTCTGCAATAAGAGAAGCCACTGCAATAAGAAGCCCACGCACCGCAACGAAAGGTATACCCCTCTCGCCGCAACTAGAGAAAGCCCACGTGCAGCAACGAAGACCCAACGCAGACAAAAATAAATAAATAAATTTATTTTAAAAAATCCCCAAACAAACAAACAAAAAACCCCAACAAGAACAACAACAAGAAACCCCAAACCCTAAAAAAGATCTCTTTTTAAATGTCCACATCCCTGGAAGTTTCCTTCCTTAAGCATTATCAACTACTCCCTTAATGATCAGGCAGAACTGTAGCAAGAATTATTTACCAGTCACTGGAGAATAAGATTGGGACCCAGTTTAGGTACCTGGGATGAAGGAGATGCTAGGGGATATTAGTAGAGAGGATGAAATGGTAAACTGTATAAACTTTCTCTTTTTTATGGTTTTGCCTTCTCTTCAGCAAGGCTGCACTATTCAAAGTTATTCCACAAACTACTATTGTATATAACATTTGTTGACAGTTACTAAAGAACACAAAATAGTTGATCAGCCTCTGAGGATGTAACTAAGGGCTATTCCGCAGGGGTTATTTCTAGGCTCAATATTGCTTAGATACTCAGCGATTTGAAAAAGAGTTCTCTGTAGCCCAATCGTTTGGTTCAAAGGTGAGCCCAGGCAGCCAAGAAACGTACCCAGCTCTTTCCAGGACAGAAGCAGGACACAACATGAATGTGATACCCAGACACATCATCAGGAGCTAATAGAATGAGTATCATTTAGGCGAAGTCCTGGTGGGACACACTGGAAGAGAAGTGGGAATAGAGACTAAGATGAGGAAGAGTTGGATGGGAGTGGAAGGTGAGGAGAAAGCTCTAGGTTCATACTGAATCATGAGCTTAGCACAGATAAACCATGAAAAGACATTGTGATTAGCCTAAGGATATAGCTCATAGCCAGGGCTGCTTGATAAACTTCTGTTTTTTTCCTGTATCAAATGGGAGGTCAACAGCCAGGGGGAGGGGCTTCCAGATACAAAGGGAAGGGGTCCACTTCATGAATTCAGGTATTTCTCCCTTTATCCTTCAGGCTTGTGAGTGAAAGGGGAGACTTTCCTGGCAGCCTGAGAGCCTGGGCATGGCTGCACCATCCACTCACACCATTCATTGTTTTTTTGTTTTTTAAAAATTTTTATTTATTTAATTAATTTAGTTTTGGCTGCATTGGGTCTTCGTTGCTGTGCGCGGGCTTTCTCTAGTTGCGGCGAGTGGGGTCTACTCTTCGCTGCAGTGCACGGGCTTCTTATTGCGGTGGCTTCTCTTGTGGCGGAGCACGGGCTCTAGGCGTGTGGGCTTCAGTAGTTGTGGTGCACGGGCTTCGGTAGTTGTGGCTCGCGGGCTCTAGAGCGCGGGCTCAGTAGTTGTGGCGCATGGGCTTAGTTGCTCCGCGGCATGTGGGATCTTCCCGGACCAGGGCTCGAACCTGTGTCCCCTACATTGACAGGCAGATTCTTAACCACTGCGCCACCAGGGAAGCCCCATTCATTGTTTTAAGGGTCAGTCATGCAGTGGCCAGTGGGAAAGTCTCTATGGATGCCCTGGAGGTTCGTCTTGCCTTCTGGATAGTTCTAGCACCTTAGAAGGAGGGTGAGATCTTCTCCTTCTAAGGAAAAGCATTAAGAGTTTCACCCAGACTTGATGCTCTCCAGAGCTTTGGGTTTTCCAAGGGGACAGTTACACAGAGCACAAGGTGGGACAGGCAAATCTCCTCAATGTGAGTAACTTAATGGTTCTGCCTGGATAAACGTTGACTTGCCTAGCATTGACCTGGATGGTGGGGCTGAAGTTACAGATGAGACCCAGTGTGTGTGCTCGATGTGCCACATCTTATAAAAATTATCGAAGACAAGTGCCAGGAAGAGGACGGTTTGGGGAAGCCATTGCCGCTCTGCCATCCTCTGCAGTGCCATGGTGGAGATTACCCTTCAGGCCCAGGGTTAGGTGTCTAGCAGCCCTCTGGGGAAGTTCCAGTCAGGCCATTCCAAATACATTACTCACAGGAGTCCAGAAGATACCTGGTTCACATGGGTATTTCTTGAGCTTGCAATATTGTCTATGGGCTCTAAATGCAGATCTTATTCTTTAAGAATAACTATTCCTTTCCAAAGTATCCTGAATGGTCAGCTGGCGTTTCCCGGATGGGAGAATGGTTTCCTTGGACTTGGTCATCATTCAGCTCACAGGATCTGATGAGTCCAGAATGTTTTGAAATTTTCCACATTTCAGCAAGCTCACCCTGGGAGAAGGCTTGGAGGAGTTCAGTTATCATTTACTGGAATCTTCCTTCCTCCTCCTTTTAAACTAACGGGGGTCATTTCAACTGATAAAGACTTTTATTACATTCTCACGTTGGGCAAGTTTCTGCGAGTTGGTATTTCTTCTGCGGACAATGGGGCACTGTAAGACAGTGAATGAGCTACTCCTGGAATAAACACATCTCTTTGTGGAGGTGACATAAGGGCTGAGGGATTCGGATTGCAGCTTTGTTTTCTTCAGGGATCTACTCTTCTCCTAAGTTTTATGGTGCTTGTGATCCCTGGAGAATTAGTATAACGAGCCTCACTCAGCTTCTTCCCAACTCTTTTGGCTGTTACTTACTACAACTTTGCAAACAAAAGTTTCACTTGTTTGTTCAGATCAAGGATAACAGTTAATTTTAATTAAAGTAATAAATCTAATTATTCCTCTGAAATTGGGGCTCCTGTCTAATATTAGGCAGTCCTGTTATTACAGGGATGTAAGGAACCATCACAAGTAATATAGAACCTTGGCTAATCCTACTCTGGTCCCTACCTCACTGGGGCTAGGAGATGATAGAAGATGGGGTCCTAGGGGAAAGGGAAATAAGGGAAGGAAATGAAAAGGTTAGGATTATTTTTTCCCCAGCTTTATTGAGGTATAATTGACAAAAAAAATGGTATATATTTAAAGTGTACAGTGTGATGATTGTGTACATCGTGAAATGATTACTACAATGAAGTTAACTAACACATACATCACCTCACATAGTTACCATTTTTGTGTATGCATGTTTGGTGAGAATGCTTAAGATTTACTCTCTTAGCAAACTTCAAGTATAAAATACCATGTTACTAGCTATGAACACCGTGCTGTACATTAGGTTCCCAGAACTTATTCATCTTATAGTTAGGAGTTTGTACCCTTGACCAATACCTACCCATTTCTTCCACCCTCCCAGGCCCTGGAAACCACCATTCTCTCTGTTTCTGTGAGTTGGACTTTTTATTTGTTTGTTTGTCTAGATTCCACATATAGGTGATGCCATACAGTATTTGTCTTTCTCTGTCTGGCTTATTTCACTGAGCATAATGCCCTCCAGTCTC